AAAGGTACCACTGCCTACTTCATTTTATTTGCAGTAACACAATTTTGCTTTTGTTGAAAACGACATCCAATAATGACGTATCTTAAAAAAAAAAAAAAAAAAAATCAGTATTTCTTTTCCTGAAGAAGGAAGTGATATAGATAAGACTACTTTCATTCTTATTTCATCTGAAAATATGTTTTGGGGGAATAAGGGTCAATCTGAGTCTTTGGGCTGCCGACCCCCCCCCGCCCGAATTCTGATTCCCTGAACCCCCTCTGGAACACGATCATTTTGGCTCCTTTGTTCCATCTGAACGATTCCTCTCAACGAAGAAATGAACGCAAAGAATAACCAAAGATTTCCTGCCTCACTTTCCTCTCTCGACGAACAACAGACAATAACACTGCATCAAAGGCGTTTTAGATCTCCCTAAGTTTATCACATAATAAATAACTGCCTCACTAATCACTAATAATACATCCGACTCTAATAATAGAAATAACTGCCGTGACGCTTAAAATCACCAGCGCTTCTCAATCACCGTCGTTTTTGTACTCCGTGACATTTCTTCAAGTCTTTGGCAATGGCGGTCTTCTCACGCGCTCCCGAGAAAGGTTCAGACAGCCGACTTCTCGAGAGACTCTCCCGTTGGCAGAAGCGTCAGTGACTATTCGAGACACGCGACGTCGAGACATGTCGCGAGTTGCAGATGGAAATGTGGACACGAAGAATGGGATGATTGGGGAGAAAGAGGAGATAGGAGGGTAGAAGCGCTGAAAAGGGGAGAAGAAAAAAGAGATAAAACGAAGAATCGAGTTTTTACACTATAATGCCTTCACATCTGTGCTTGAAACCGGAAATATGGTAATTACTTCAAACAAGTGATTAACAGCGAAGAGACAAAAAAACGTTTTTTTACCGATAGTTACCTCCCCCCCTCATATATTTCTCTATTTTTTCTCTATTATTAGCCAATGATTATGTAAAAAAATATTCAACAAAGAAACAGTCTCAGTGATGATGATAATAGTAGTATTGATGATGATAACGTTCGTAATGATAGCAATACCTAGTTATGGAGATGAAATTAAAGACATAAAAGAAATAATAACATCAATATTTCTTGTGATGACACAACTACTAATCTAACGCCATTGATAGATATTGAGATAAATAAAAACAAGTTCAATGAAAATAACATAAACAATATTTCTGATGCAGTTACTGTTCCGGTGATACTATTGATAAGAAACGTGTTCATGAATATTGATATAAATAAAAACAAGGTCAATGAAAATGAATAATTCGCAAACAAATATTGAAAAAAAAGCGAAAAAGTCTTTGCCTTTTTGTCCCAGTCGGGAATCGAACCCAACATCACCTGATTTAAATTTAGTCAGCCATTTTAACCGTTACGCCACAAGGATATGATATTTTAAAAACCCAGGTACAAGCCGTATTTTTACAAGGATATGATTTTTAAAAAACTTTTTCAACTATTCCAAGGGGAGAGGAGTATAAAGATAGGAAGATGGATAGATAGGATAATTGAAAAAGAGATATGGACGTGTGAAAAAAATACATATACATACATTTTAATATAAATATAATTATATATATATATAAACTTATAAAAACACACAGATTACACATGCACCCCCTCGCCTTTCCACACACACAACTGAACAGATTTAAGGAAACTTTACATATTCAGCCTCCGTGACCAACTGAATGTGTCCCGATGAAGGAAAAAATGTGTTTATATCTGTAAATAATTTTGCACGTATGTATATGTGTAGTCACTCTCTCTCTCTCTTACACACACACACACACACATACACATACATACATACATACATACACATACATATACATATATGTATATATGTATGTCTTTACACATATATAATGTGTGTGTTTGTGTGTGTCTGTATATATATATATATATATATATATATATATATATATATATATATATATATATATATATATATATATATATATATATATATATATATATATATATATATATATATATATATATATATATATATATATATATATATATATATATATGCACATGTGTGTGTAAGCAATATAAAATATACATATATATTCAGGAATATGCATATTTGATATATATATATATATATATATACACAAATACTAGTATGTATATATGTATATTTGTATACACATATGTGTATTTCAGTATACATATATATCCTATATATGTATATATGAATATATCTGAATACACACACACCTGCGTTTCTGCAATATCGAAGAAGAAAAAATATATTTAAATTGTAACCGCTCGGGATCGAACCGAGGACCTTACGCGTGTGAGTCGCACGTGATAACCACTACACCACGGAGACGATAATAATTGATGTCTCTCTGCAATGTATTCTAGGAGATGATATAAATTAGTGGCGTCCCTCTCCACAATATTCTAAAGTAAATACTGATTGATAAATAGGAAACGAACCAAGGAATAGAAGAAAGACACAGCGGACGAGAAAGAGGTTACAGAC